CAAGTAAATCTCCCTGAGGGCAATAGTCCATGAAAACAAACACCATTTCACCCAAGTCCACAACTTGTCTGGCTCTGACAAGGTTTTGGTGGTTGATGGACTTGCTTATGGCCAGTTCTCTTGGGAGAAACTTTGTTGCATAGGACTGTGATGCCTTGGCAGTGTCTATGATCTTGGAGAAAAATTATTGCTTTCAAATCTGTGAGCATTTGTATGCTGATTCCACTCTTCTGAGAGTCATATGCATTCACAATTAATACTGTTACCAGGGTAATAATCCACTTGGATTTTGGAATACACCAGCAATTCACACTGTATCTATACTTGGAAACCATATCACAAGTTTCACAACACACATTTCTTTTAATTTTGAAAAAAGCCCATAACGTAGTAATGATACATTTCTGCAGAATTTTTGAATTTGTATGCATAAAAAAAACTTGATAAAATGTCAACACAAATATTTCAAAAACTAAAATAATGCATATAAAAGCTTTCCAATGATTCCAAACTAAAAAATTTTAATTTGATGAACCCTCAAACTGTTGCAACACCGTGGCCCTGAAAATATGTGGCTATCTTGAACAAATTTTTTCAAATTCATTTTGAGAATATCCAGGGTATGTGTCTTGCTTGAGTGTGCATGGCAGTCCAGTTCAGTATAAACAATGTATGTTCCAAGTAGAACGCAATAGTTCCCTGCATGTTAAAATTAACCTATTTCTGAATGAGTTTTCCACTCTTCCTTGAACGCTTCATTGTAAACTGCTCAATTTTTTCTGGGATCATACTCAACAAAATTGACACAGATTTGTTTATGAAACTATTTGAATGAATGACTTGAATTTTTGCTGAGAAAATTTGCTAAGTACAAACAATGAAAAATTCCTGACATGACATAGTTTGTCAAGATAACCAAACCTGACTTTGCAGAATTTTTAGTACTTTACTGTTTTAGTATTGGATTATATTTTATCTGCTTCAACTAAAGGTTGAGCAACATTTAACAACTGTTTTAGCAACACTTTGATGAGTTGAAAATATACTTTGCTGAAATTCATGAAGTTATTTGTCTGAAAAATGTTGTTCCATGGATAAAAAGTCAAAGCTCCATTTTTTTCATAAGAATGTATGTTGTAAATTGTTTAGTTCAGGGTTTTTATAGATTGAGCTGGAACCCATTGTACAAGTTTCAGGTGCTTTTAGGTCATTAAAATGTCAAAATCAACATTTATCTTTTTAGCATGAAAAATGTATCATATATTATTGAAAGAAATTGAGAAAGCTTTTAAATTTTTCCTATTGTTGGTCATGGTATGGACTTTCAAATTTTCTGCAGGAAATGATGCTGCAATTAGCCCCAAAAATTTGGCAGTTATTCACCTTGCAAGCATATCTCCCATGGATGGCCCTAGTTCTCATGTCAACCTTCTCCACCAGTTTGACAACAGAATAAGACCCTTTCCCAATAGTCTTTCCTAAAAGAAACCCAAGCTTCTCCAACTCAATGGAACACTTGTCTTCCAGCAGATCATCTTCTTGTTCTGGTTTGGTATCTAAAACCTTCACTGGATTATTACTCTTTGGCAATGATGCACTAGTCTTCTTGGCTGAGGTATTCCAAGACCGCGGCCATTTGCTCATTGCTGGGGGCCTCTCACAAGTTGCCATATTTTTGTTGATTATGATGTATTACAGTAGTAGCAATTTTCCTGGATTAATAATCAAGTAGAAGGAACCAGAGAACAAAGAAAAGCAGGCATGTAGAAATAGTGGCGTTTATTCAGGGTATTAGATATTATTAGATGAGGTGAGAAAAGGTGAGACAAAAAAGACAAGGATGATCTGTATGCATATACAAACACATTATAGTACCTCTCTGCATCCTGGAGGTTGCTTAGGTGAAGGGGAAAACCTTGCTGAGGTTGTTTGATGAGTGAAATTTGAGAAAAAATTCAGGGTTGCCACTGTGCCATCCATATTTAGTGAAGCAGCAAAAAAATACATTTACAAGGGGTTTAACAAAAGTTCTTGTTGGAATGGCATAAAATTGGGTTGAAAAACAATTAATGTACAGGAGAAAACATTCTGGCAAAATAATAGAAAAACAGGCCTGTTTCACATATTTTTTCAGAAACTGTTTGCAAATGTCAGCCTGGCACGAAAGACGAGAAGTGAGTTTTATACTTCACGTGTAGAGTGATTAAAAAACCACAAGGGGTTAAAGGGAAGTCTTAAGAACCTTAAATGTACCGTAATTAAGGTTCTTAACGACGGTAATTAACTAGCTTAATTCCACCATTTCCATCAACAGTTACTGATTTTGATGAGAATGTGGCAGCTCTTAATGAAAATGGCAAAATTACCTTAAAAGACCTGATGGAGGCAACCCTTGGAATCAATGGCCGTGTACAATTTCATGAATTCTGAAGGAAAAGCTGGGCTACGCTAGAAAAAATCTGCAGGATGGACACCTCATCTTTTGAGCAAAGAGCCAAAACTTGCCAGGATGACTTTTGAAAATACAGAATAAAAATAAGAGTCAAACAGGACTGTATTTTTTGCTTGTGATTTTTTTTTTGAAGCAATAATTGTTTATCTGTTCAATAATATGCCAGTTCAATTTGTATCTCCAGAAATGTTGCTATACTCCTTGTATACAGAGAAAGTTTCCAGAGTGACTTTCACAAAAAATATTTAAAAATTTGTAAAACTGGGCTGCATTTTTTTTGTCAAGTAATGTTTTTTTCTGTACAATGATTTTTTCAGCTCAATCAAGATTTATTTTGATTTTAAATTCCAAGAACTTTTGTTACACCCTGTGTACAGTACATGGAAAAATATATATAGTCAGGATAACTTTTGCAAAAGAATCACAAAAAATACCTCAAACTGGGCTCCATTTTTTCTCTTGTGCCAAAGAATGTTTTTTTCTTAGCAGTATAATTGCTTGTCATTTCAATCAAATGCCATTACAAAAGCTTTAGTTGGACCCCTTATTGTATACTGTACATAGAACTCCATGCATATGGTCATACTTGTACTGTACAATATATAAAAAACATAAATGTATGTGGAAGGATAGAGCTGTCACGCAAAGGGGTGTACTGTATATAGAGGGTACAGTAGTGTACACGCAAGTTTTGTGCTGGGGCCCCCCACGCCAACTTTATAACTGTCCCTAATAACTAGTTCCCGTCACCAACCCTTCCTTTGTGACCCGACCACCGTACGTACCCTTCCAGCCGCGTCCCGTCACGGGAACGTCGTATATATGTGTAGGCCCATGCAGCAGGGGGACTTGCAGGTGCTGCTGCTGCATGCTGGTGAGTGTGTGTGTGTGTGGCTGCCATTTCTCAATGTCCCCACTCCTTGTGTTTTCATTTGCCACACTGCTGCAAACCATGTGTTGGGTTGGGTTTTTTCTCTTCCAAGAATTATTTTGAGGTTTGACATGGTATGGTATTCTTGTGAAATATGATGTGAGTGCAAATACAGGCCAGTGCTGTGAGTATCCTATATACTGAAGTTCATCATGATTATCTTTCAACTGTGTTTTTTGAAAAGCAATACTGATCTGTGTGATTTGAGAATGATTGCAGTGAATACCTGCATGACAACAGTGTACACATTTTTTTCACATCAGAAAAAAGTTACACAATCCTGTTAATAAATTTTAATGTGCTTGCATTCCAGTAATGTATCAATTGAAACTTTGGAAATTACTTGGGTATACAGTATAATTTTTCTGGGGCTATAATTTTTTTCCTCAAAGTGGCACAAGAAAAAAAATGAATAAACTAGCAAAAACTTATCATGATCATGTATGGACAAAAAATACATGACTGTTTGAAAAGGGGAAATTTGTCAATAAAAATTAAGTAAGTGGCATTTTTACTGAAGCCATGTTATAAAAGCAAAACAGGCTTTGTAAATTGTCTAATATATGCCAGGAAAGATTGTATGTTTAATGAAGTGAGTTTGTGATCCACAGAATTAAATTTGCAAAAACGAAAAAAAAACCCTGCAAGATTCATACATTTTCTCATTTGCTTTTGTTGGAAAATTTCTAAATTTATAGGCCATTATGCAGCTATTTTCTCTTTTTAAAATCTACACTGTGAAAAAATCTATACTTCAATGATTTCCCATTTTAAATGTTCCTTTCAATTTATATTCATAATTTGACATCAAAATAATCACTTCATGCATTTCTGATGTTGGAATTTTATTTAAACTCTTTGCTCTTTTTTATAGCAGTGTGAGATCCATTGGCGTAGTTCCATGGATGCAGAGCTGACATAGCAGGAGCCTATGCAGATAGATTTTCTCCCTAAAAAAATGGGAGAATTAGAATCAAGTGTCCCACTGACCAACTGTGATGAGAGCCCAGGACTTGGAGAGATGATTTACAGAAGAGCCAAGTCTGTTCCCAGGAAGACTCATAGACGTCGTCATTATCAAGAGCATCATCACTTGCATCAGGTTATTGGCATATAAATCTATGGCTGAAGATTGATGAACATCTTTCCTTCTATGAAAATAGGGTTTGCTNCAGGACTTGGAGAGATGATTTACAGAAGAGCCAAGTCTGTTCCCAGGAAGACTCATAGACGTCGTCATTATCAAGAGCATCATCACTTGCATCAGGTTATTGGCATATAAATCTATGGCTGAAGATTGATGAACATCTTTCCTTCTATGAAAATAGGGTTTGCTTGACTGATATTTTCTGCAAAAAAAAAGGCAGCTAACTTCTGAGCTTGGACTACAGTCCAAGCTCAGAAAAAAGAAGCACAAAATCAGATTGTTTTTTATTGTGAATTAGAGTAAATTTATACGGAAATATTTTTTTTAATTCTGAATATAAATAGCTCAATTTATGAGATATCGAAAGTGAAAATCAAACTTTTTAAATTTTTGAATAAAAATTCCAGAAAAGCTTCTGCTTTTGATTCTGAATTGGAGTAAATTTATATCGAAATATTTTCCAATTTTTATGAATAGCTAGATAGATAAATAGCTCAATTTACTTTATAGAGATCAAAAGTGAGAAATGAAATTTTTTGATTTGATGGAAGATGCCAGAAAAGTGCCCCTATCTTGAGCAAATGTCCGGATGTTGGTTTTAAAGTGTCCCAAAGTCGAAAACGTCCATTTTCTGTTGGGGTCTCACTGTACTACACTTACTCTTAGATACTCTTAGAGTGATACTAAGAGTATCACTCTTGTTAGTATTATGAAACGTATCCTTTTTAAGTCATATATTCACCTCATTTTATTTTGTTATTCATAATTTTCTATTGCATTTCGTGTGTTATTCCATCCTTCCATGTACTGTACAGTACTGAGTTTATTCGCTCATTATTTCTATAGACCCCGATGCGTCATCATCGTCGCCCGGAGCCCGGGTACTTCTCCGCCACCCCGTCACCCACGACATGCAACCCGGTCCTCATGGACCTGACGACGAGCTTCAGCGCGAGTCTGTCGAGTCTCGCCTGGCTGACGTCGAGCAGCGCGGGTTCCCCGTCCAGCAGCAGCACCTGCGAGGGTTCCTTGGACAGCTCTGGGCCCGGCGGGGCCGGGTTCCGCGCCGGCGGCATGAGTCTGTCTCTGATGGGGCCCCCCAGGGTGCGGAGGAACCCGTTTTTCCGACCCGCCGGTGCAGCCCGGGCTGCAGCTGAGGACATCTTGCGAAACCCGCCGGAAGTGCGGCCCAAGACGAATCTGACCAAGTATAAGGCCTTGCCGGCGATCGGAACCCTACACAATGAGAATGTTGTGGTTCCCGAGGCTGTTGATGTGTTGAAGCAAAATGGTGGTGGTGGTGATGATGATGAAGATGATGAAGAGCTTAGTCGCGAAGGTGAGTGTTTTATTGGAGAAGGGAATCCTATACACCATCAGAACTGAACTTTTCAAAGATTTGGGATTCTCACAATTTAATTTAAAAAACAAAGCTCGTTCTGAAATCTTGAAGGACCATGGGAAGAGTTTGGCAGAATACCGTGGGTTTTGAATTATGTTTAATATACAGCAGTCAGACTCACACATGTGGACATAATTGGTGCATCAAAAGTGTCCATAAGTTGAATTGTCCCAAAGTTGAGTCTTGTTTTCCCATAGACTTACATTATATAATTTTTAATTGGTGTTTTATGGAAGAAATATTCTTCAGAATTCCATGAAAAAAAATTGGTTTGCCACTTGAATTTGATTCAGTGAATATATTTTCAACCCAATCAGAGCATTTGGAGCATTGAATAGTTTACCACTGTATAGTTCATTGAAATGTTGACATCTGTAAAAATAACATCCAAGTCACAAAAAGAGAAGGAAGTCCCTCTGTGCTACAGGTATTTTTTTAATTAGCTGAAAGGATGGGAAAGTGATAGAAAAGTACTAAAGAATTTTTCATGAAGAAATCTTAGGGTTCAAAGTATCTGTTTCTTGTAATTAAGCCTAATTAAAGTCAATTTTCCTAAGATTTATTGGCAATTTTATTATGTAATGTCCTCATGTTGAGTCAGTTTCCATATGTAAGGACTTTTTCATGATTTTTTTATTTGAAAATAAATGTCCCTATGTTGAATAGTCCCCATCTTGAGGTGTCTGCATGTGGGGGTCTCACTGTAGTTTTTGGGTGTTTACATTTTTTTCAAAAAATGTGCCAACCAAAGAATTCATGCATTTGTATGTACAGTATACAGTGAGATCCCCACATGCAGGTACGTCAACATGAGGACAACTCGACATAGGGACACTTATTATCCCATAAACAATTAATAAAAAAGGCCTGACATGAGGATACTGACTCAACATAGGGACATTTTGTGATAACATTGCAAATAAGTTTCAGACCAAATTACAAGAAACAGATATTTCCAACTCTAAAATTGATGTGAGAAAAGTTCCTGGGCATTTCTCTCACCAATTTATGATCAATTTAGCTAATTTAAAAAATTACCTCCAGCATAGAGGCACTTCCTTCTGTCTTTTTCACTTGAATTTTATTTTACAGAGAATGACAACATTTCTTGGCAATTTTGAGATAGATGAGAAAAGTTTTGGCCCACCCCAAAACTTATCTCCTCTTGGAGATTTCCTGGAAAATGTGGAAAGCCGTGTGTTCCCAGGAATTCCTGAAGGGGTTTAAAAGTCTGTTCTGCCAAAATATGTGCCCTTGTATCTTTGAGTCCATCTTTGGCAAACCATTTTTTTTAGTATTCCTTCAAGGATAGTTTTCTTGGGGACTCCTTTCACACAAATTCACACACATTGGGTGTTTTGAATTTTTGTCAAAAAAGGTGCCAACCAAAGAATTCATGCATTTGAATATATGTACAGTATAATGTGGAAAAGCCTGTGTTCCCAGGAATTCCTGAAGGGGTGCAAAGGTCTGTTCTGCCAAAACATGTGCCTTTGTATCTTTGAGTACATCTTTGGCAAACCATTTTTTGGTATTCCTTCAAGGATAGTTTTCTTGTTTACTATTTTCACACAAATTCACTCACTTGCACTCCAGCTCTAATCCAGTCAATGACTGGCTGGTGCTTGTTTTGTTCTTGTCTCAAATAATGTGTGTGTCTGAGGTGGATGAACCAATGTAAACTAGGGTGGCACTCACCCCTGCCACAGCCCAGCTGTGTGAAGTGTGTTTTATTCTAAAATCCAAGTTCTTGAGTAATTGTTTTAAATTCTTTGTAATTTCATTTGCATCCCTGACACTGTATATGGTATTTGCATTTGTAGGAAATGATAGACAATGTGCCTCATTTATATTTCCAGTGAGATTGCTTATATTTCTGATCATTCAAATCAAAATTTCTCTGGAACAACAATTTGTGGATGAATGGAAGAATTCCACCCAGAGATAAAATCAAAGAACTCATTCATAGCTCACAATGTAGCTTTGTAAAAATAAAGATAAAATATTTCCAAACTTGGCAAAAGAAATGCAATTAAATTTGCTACAAAAAGCCTGACCACTGGATTTCCAAATTAAAATAAGGCAATCAATGAAAATATCCATTCAAAGCCAGACAACTTTGGTGCCAATTAGGAGCAGGACCAGATACAGTTTTAAGGTGGACCAGAATCATGTTTAATTATAAGTTACACATGATGTACATATTTTTTTTTTAGGTTTTATTCTCAATTTTCAATAGTTGTGTGTGTGTGTGAGAGGGAGGGGGGTCAATGGGATAAATGTTTTTAACTTTGTGAATGCTGACAAGCAGCAAGTTAAGCATATTCACCAAGAGTCATAAAATATGCATGAACAAAATAAAACTGCAGGGGATTTTCACACCTGCTGTCAGGAATAAATCCTTGACAATAAAGATGTTTAAAAAATTATTTGAGTTTAGAAGAATTTGCTTTTAGATTAGAATGAATAGAATAACGGAATTTGGTTGGGCTGCAACCGGGGTGAAATTTCACCCTATTTTAACGTTGTTATAAATCAAGAACACAGTCAACACACACAATATTCACAAAAACCCTGGAGTGTCTCATATGAGATGAGCTCATCAGAGAAGAGTGTAGGATTTCCATTGATTCAGAAACCAGGAAAACTGTCCTCCAAGGACAAATAACAGAACCAGGATTTCAGCAATAGAAAACAGTCTTGGAGGCTTCCAGAAAAAAGTGTGTGTGAACCAAGGTCTTTCCGGGTTCACACAGAGTTGCACAAGGACAAGTCTTCCCGAGAATTCAGACTCCTGAGTTTATCATTCAGCATAACAAATCACACTCTACAGCATTTATTTTTGCGACACCTGCCTCCTAATTGTTTTTTTTTTCTAATCACAGGCTCACCGGAAATGGACGAATTCATGCCATTCCCCGACGACGTGAACAATTTCGGCGACGACGAAGACGACGGCGAAGAAGAAGAGCTCCAAGACGAGGCCCTTTTCATGGTCCACGACTCGAACCTGGTGCCAGACATTGAGTCGCAACCCAGGCCTCCTCTGGTGCGTCGCAGAACCTTCGAGATCATAGAACCCGTGGATGATGAGCTTGATCGACCCGTCATAAGCGATGATGATGATGAGAATAAGGGAGACAGCAGAGATGAAACCCAGTGTGACTTTGATGGGGTACATGATCACTGATGGGAGTTGAAGCATTGTGTTCCCCAACCCTTTGGGACCCCTGGACCCATGAATTCCCATCTTTAAAAATTTTTGACTGGCTAATTTTCAAAAGAATTTCTGCAGACTGGCAAGGTTTCATAAAATGTTTGCAGATACAAAATGTTTTGTTGGAAAGACTTTGTGGCAGGTATTGAACAGTTTCTGCTTAATTTTTCAAAAATTAAGTCAAGATCTGATGAAGCAGCTACAGTAAAATTTTCTTCAAAAATCGAAAAGGTGGCCTTGAAGAAAGGTTTCTCAAATTGAAAAATTAAAATAATTTATTTCAGCTGGTGAAAATTTGTCTGGAGCATTATTAGGACAAAAGTCAACTTTTATTTTTCATCAAATAATTTCAGATATCCTTGTACAGGTGAACCTGGATAACTTGAACCCCCTAAGTCAATTTTTTTCAGGTCCCCACCTGAATCCCCTTAGAAACAATACATTAAAAAGCTCCATGAGTCAAAAGCATTTCCCCTCAAACCTCCATAAGTCAAATTTTCTGTGACCTGTTGGCCATTATTTTATTGATCCAAGAAAGAAAAAAAGCAATAAAAACAAAAATGCATTTGTTTTAAAGGAAGCAAAAGACTTAAATGGGCAGATAAACCCCTGTCTCCAAGTTCAGCAGCCTTTCAACTCATTTAAGAAGCCATTTCAACCTCCATAATATCACCATTTAAATTTTTTTTCAAGTTCCCCTGAAAAAAGGCTTTGCATTGTAGTTCAAACCTATATACTGTAATTCAAAATGTCCCTAAGTCAAAAACTTCCTTAGTTGAATTTTTTGCAGGTCCCTTCAAATTTGACTTGGAGAGGTTTGACTGTATTTCCAAAATTTCATATGAAGATAACAGACTTCAGCACTACTTTTGATACATTGATTATGCTAAAGAAAATGTATCTGGACCAGGGGTTGGGGAACACTGAGCTAGAGTAAAGCACAGCAATGGGAGATTAACAAGGTGGGAGAATTGGCAGGAGAACAGTGCTTGCTATAAAAAGGAAAGCAGTATTTTCATGGGCTGGACTGTGTTTCTTTTTGTTGCTTTATTGCAAATTGGATTTTTTCATTAAAACTTTCTGAAAAATTTCCATCTACATTTATTATAAAGACAGAAATTTGCAGTTGATCCATAGTGTGATACTGTACTAAGTTTCAGCCATTCCACCCTCAGCAGCATTATCTAAAAACCAAATACTCTGCACTGCACTGAAATTACTTGAAGACATGCTTTAAGTAATGTTTTCGAGCATTATATTACAGAAATATTGCTGACTTCCGCCAGAATTGGGAGCGAAAGAAAGGGAAAATGTGAGTAAAGTGATTACAAAATCTATGCATCATGGGCAAGTCAATCATGGTGAATTTTGGACTTGAAAAAAAAATTCAGAGCTGAATTCATTAAAAATAAAAATGCCAGCTGAAATGTGGAAGATAAAAACATGAAAAAAGAAGAATTGAATAGCAATGTAAATCAGGCTCAAATTAGATCAATTTGCTATGTACAGTAGTTTATTTTTGCAATATTGCAAATTTTATGGACTCCAAAGCGGTATGCACTTTCAAGTTGGGGTTAAACACTCTACAGCACATTTCATGCAAAAAAGGTAGGTACATGTCTTTTTCAAAGATGTGTGGTACATGCTGTACTTCAGAAAGTATGGTACAGTTGTAACCCTGGGACTGTATAGAAATAATTTAGACCTATATTTGACTGCAAGAGGTTCTTTGTACTGAGGCAACCATTCAGGGTTAGATAGAGGGACACATGCATATGGCTCATCAATTTCAGCCTTTTTTTTCAAAGAAACCTTGAAAGCTTTGACAGTGAGAAAGACATCTTTCAAATTTATACATCAAAATGTGTTGCATGTACCCTGAAAATGTTTAGCTCTCAATCTTTCATTTTCAAGAAGACAAAAAATGGGTCATTAGTATTATATAACTGGCAGCTTTTGTCCACAATTTCTTATTCCAGTCATATACCTCTGTTTTTCATTTGTTTTATTGCCTCTTTAATAACTACATAAAATTAACATGTGTTCCTATTACCATTAATGAAGTATAAGAGAGTTTATAACTTCCCAGTCAGCCCTATTGTGGTTTTATTGGCAAATTCAAAGGGAGTTGACATTTTCTTATCCACAAATCTACAATGCCTTTTCCACAAACAGAAGAGGGCATTATTGCCCCAGGTTTTATTGCTCTTCCTGTTTTAATGGAAGATCAATAATACACCAGGGTTTTGGCAGGCAAACAGCCCTGCTGATGACTTTCCAGCTATAATTAATTGGATGCTTGTCAAGTTTTCCACTGGCTTATACACAGGTATCCAGGTTGTAGATGTTTCTGGGGACAAACGCTTAAAAAATCAAGGATTAGAATTTTTTGATCTGGCTTTTAAAAATTCCAGCTAATGAAAATATGCTGGCACACATTCATTTTGTCAGCCAAACTCCCAGGGGGCTTCCAGGTAAATAAAGTGCAAACAATTCTATGAACAGTAGCTCTACAAAAGCTTAGTCTGCCAATCCTATATAAAATACCTTTCCTGGATCCCCTCCATTGATCCCACATACAAAATCCCTGCAAATAAATTTTTATTTTGTAATCAGGAAAGTAAGAGGGGTTAATGGAAATTTTCTACAAAAATTAAATGATGGTAAGCTCAAACAAGCTTAAACTAATCTTCAGCTATTTGAAGATATTTTAGCATACTTGAGGATTTACACCTGCTTTTCTCATTTGTGGCTGTTTCCAAACTTCAATAACTGAGATCAGATCAACTCTGGCTTGGTATATGAAACATTGTGAATGAATTACTTTTTATAGCTTTCATTTGGAATTATTTTCTGATAAGCTTCTTAAAATCACTAATATATCATGATTAAATCGCAATCAAAATTTTCTCTAATCAAACACCTTATCCAATTTATCTTTATCAAGTAGGAGGATGAACAGAGTATCTTATTCTGGAATGTGAAGATGTTGCAAAGGCTGCAAAAAAGTCATCAAGATTAAACTCAGCAAAATATAAGGACTAAAGTTTGTGCAAGATTCATAACAACCCAGAGAAATAAAACTCACTACAAAGGGTATCCTGAAGACCAGAACAGCACTGAAACCAAGGAACATCCAAGGAATCTTCAAAAGTCAACTATATCTGACACTTGAACTGCATCCTCATTCTCACCATCACAGAAGATTCAAAATGCCTGCAAAAAACAGTAGCAACAGAAGCAGTACCCATTTGCAAAAGCAGCTTTTATACAGTTGAACCTCTGAAAGTCAAACTTGAATGGACCCACAAAAAATGGTGTGTTCTTGTCAGGGAAACCAGTATTTTTGCCAGGAAAAAAGTGAACAGTTATAATGAAAGTTGACATTTTTGATATTCTAGCCATGGAACTGTTAGTGAAGTGACAGAAGGATGCTGACATTTTAAGGCAAAGCTAGAAAGTCACAGGGTGTTGAAAATTTGTCAGGCAAGCCAAGATTTAGAAATTTTGTTCTTTTACCCATTATATGTTCTAAATTTTAGGTAATGGTTACATAAAACAGCAGCAAAATTCAAATTTGTATGGTTGCTTACAACTTGGAAAACTCTGGTATCACTTTGTCCTAAAGGGAAATTCGACCATCACTGCACAAAAACTTGAAACAGAGGTTTGACTCGGCAGATTTTAATTTCATCACCCAATTGGAATACACTGATCCCAGTCAGGCTAAAATAATTAAACAACTCAGGTTTTTTTTTCTGCAAGAAGCCTCAGGTTTCATAACGGTCACAGAACACAATTGGAAACGAGGGAGGGCCGCTCACATTTTGGCAACACTGCTGAACACCCAAAAAAAAAAACTTCGGAACACAGCATGACTAGCAACTAATTAAAGGCGAAATTCGTTTCTTTCAATCGTCGTTTTTGGGCGACATAATTTCTCTCTTTTTCATCAAACGTTAACACGCTTTTCGCATACATTTTTTTCTTTTTTTAACGCATATTGCATGGAAACACCAACGACACAAAGCATTGCGTTTCTTTTTTCCCGCACACACATTTTTTTTTTTTTGGAATCCAAGGAAACACAAGGAAATTTCCCCTCAGGCTGCCAAAAGTCTTTCGCATAAAACGCGGTTTTCGGAGGAGATTCGGAGGTCAGAAGTGCAACCACAGTCAAATAAGCACCTGTCGGAACGAGTCGATTGGCACATTATTCCGTCGGAATACACGCAATATATACTGGCTCATACACGATTCTTGATTGAGTAATCGACGCTTTTTCAAACAACCACTTTTTCACACACCCATGAAGCGAAAATAAATAATGTGAGGTCATTATCACGCAAAAGCAAAACAAAATTTTCTCTGGTGGAATATTGAAAAGCATGCTCTCAATAAAACTGTTGCTGTTTGAAATAACAATTATAAAAATTTGAAATGCTGACACTGATCATTAACCCTTGGAAGGCAGAGGGTTCTTTCCCATAGCGGGACAGAGTCAGATTATTTTTGTATCCTCCCGCATTTTCATAATTTCAAAGGTCAGAAAAACCCTTCCAGGTGGGCTGAGGTAAAGTTGGGATAAATCCAAAAAAAAGCCAGTAGACTAACTGATCATTTTTCAATTTTCCCACAAAAATTGTCTGTGCCCAGGGAAAAAACATTGGGATTTTTCCCAACTTTGCCCCTAACCCCCTGTTCACATTTTTTTCTTCACCTCTCTGAGGAGTAACAAAATTTTGCAAAAAAAAGTCCAACTTTGCTGCCCAAGGGTTAATGAAGCTTGTGATCATTTAAACCATGAAAACTACTGTATACCATTATTTCTGAGAGAGGTTCTATACTAAAGCGGATTTGCAATGAAGAGAAACTCTACTTGGATAAATCTGCTGAACAAAAAAAATCATCCACCTCAGTAAACTCGAAAAATGAACCTCTCATTCCTTCCTGAAAATAAAACAAAACAAGCCCATTAACACAAGGGGCCTAACAAAAGTTCTCAGGTTGACATAAATTGAAATTGCACACATGATTGAGCTGAAAAACAATTACTGTTCAGAAAAAAACATTCTTTGCACAAGAAAAAGTTCAGCATTGCGTGACTTTTTTTTCCTCACTCTGGCAACTTTCTGCACTTCTCTCAAAACACAAAGGGCCATCTCTTGCTGATTTTTTGGCTTTGCCAAACTTCTCCCTCAGAATTGCAATGGACATGGATTTATTCCCAAGGGTCTTCCAGGTCTTTGGAAGACCCTCCAGGTCTTCCAAAGTAATTCCAATAATAATAATCACAAAATGGTGGCAACCCTTGACATCAATGCCATGTCAATTTAAAGAAGTCTGAAGGAGAAGCTGGGCTACATAAAAAAAATTGCAAGATGGGCACACCTGTTTTCAGGTGAAGCTTAGAAAACTGCCAAGGTGACTTTTGCAAAAACAAATTCTAAGCAATACTTGTACTTGTTTTCCAGCCTGATTGTTTCAATTTATATTCCAAGAAAATTTGTTTGAGACCTTGTATTATTTACAGAATACACCTCAAAGATTAAAAAAGAGGTCAGGAGAAAATTGCTGGCATGGAAAAAAATTTTGAAAGGCACCTTTTTTCACATTATAAAGCTGATTGGAAGGATTAGCAAATCCAAAGCAAGCTCCAATAACACTGACAACATCCAAAAAAGGCAATCCTTGCTTGAACACTAGAGAAATTTCCCCATTCGCATTTTCTCATGACGCCATTTAAACAAATTCACGATTTGTAAAACATCCAATTGAAAGGCACCGACAGCGTAAATTCTCATAAGCATGAAACAATTTTTTTAAGAACGTTGAAGATGAGCATTTCGCTCTTTGCAAATCGAACAAAACATTTTTCTTTGGAAAGGAGAAAAATGAGACATTGAAAATTTGAGCATATTATTAACGAATTAAACCAATTCGCGAGGAAAGAACAAAAATTTAATATTCGAATTCAGGTTGAACTAAATTTCAGGAACATACCACCGTTTTTATCACGGAAAACAAAAAACGCCCATTAGGTTCAACACACAAGGGTTGCATCAAAAGTCCTGCCAGTACCACCTTATAATTCCAAATTGAATTTTCCAATTTATTTTTAAGGAATAACGTATAATTTTCTTTGTGAGCTTTTTCAACTTTTTCCACACCCACGTTGCAACAAATACAAGACTTTGAAAGTGCACTATAAAAGGAACTAGGGTTCAAGTGCCAAACTTGCATTTTTCTCTCACAGTCCCATATTCATGCAAGTGCTGCATGAACCTTTTTTTCTGAAACTAAGGACCAAGTCACTTTTGGGTATGGATTTTTCCCTAAAATTGCACCATTTTTTTCATTTTAACTATTAGTGTGTCATAAATCATTATAAAATCATGTACATTTCAAAACATTTAAAATTATGATTTGAATTCAATTGGATTAAATCTGTTTTTAGACATTAATATGACAGTTTTAATATTTCAGATTAAAAAATACACATAACAAAGGCAGAATCCATTTGAGAATACTTTACAGTAAATTCAACATGTCAGGTATTTTTTTAAATCCACCAGAAATTCGGATGCGGCTCTTATTCAGGTAATTTTGGTAAAAATTGTACCTAAAAATCACGGTTTACATCTAATGCAAGGGCTATCAAGGGCACGCGGTATTCAAGTCAATACGGTATCTGCAATAATCGGTTCAAATGTCACACGAAAAAATCCCTTATGGCCTACGCGACAGATCCCAACAACTATTTGGGGAATGCAAAAAGTTCTGCATTTTGAAATCAATCTCCTACAAGATGCAAAAACGATTTTCCAGTGAGATTGTTTCCAGCTTTAATCCGCATTCTTGTCTCTACTTAACGGAAAGGAACGAATTGTTAGACGAAAAATTTAACAGTATTCAATATAACTCCATTGCTTAAGAAATCCGGAACATCAACAATACCGAATTTCACAACGTTTATTGTATGTTACTGCACACAATACAGTACTGTACTTCGTTTTATACTCGTTGGGTCTCATTATGGTTAGATGTCACTAGTAGTTTATCCTCATAGGGCATAGTATCCGATGGATTCCGGGTTGACCGAAGTTCCATTTACTCCGGAATTACTCGTCAAAACATGAGTTATGGAAAGGAAGGGCATAGATTTACAAAAAAAAGTTTCCGCGCTCGTCAAAAAACAGCAAGAAACTCCGTACGAGTTCAGTTATTATCCAGGATCGGGTGAGTAGAGTGAACTCAATAATAATACTGCACCAAGGCCTCCGATTTCGAAGGTACTGGCAAAACTTTCGCACCAACAGCTCCGCTAAAACTACGTGAATTACATACGATCGAATATCTCAGATAGAATACAAATTCAAGACAGCAAAATCTCGCTTTTCTCTTTCTTTTCGACGCGTGAAATCCAGACACGGTTTAATACACTCGTCGACGCTTCAACCCCTTTCACAAGCATTGGTCTCCTTATTCTCAGCATACGTAGGATTCATAACACCTGCTGATGACACACTTTTAGTTCCACTCTTGACGTGTTTCTTGGCCTTTTCCTTGCTCCTACTCATTCCCGGGTCCCTGGGTAACCCCGGGGCGGCTTCGGATTTAGACTTCGAACTCTTCTTCGTCGGTCTCTGCGAAGTACCCGAAGCTGAATTACCGTTATTGTTGTTTGTCAGGTTTTCAACACTGGATGCGATCATGCGTCCGGTGGCGGACATGCCGTTGAGTTTAGAATGAGTAGATGCAGATCGGCGGCGAGAAAGAGTGTCGTTGAATCGCGAGTAGTAGCTTTTGCGGAGAATGCGTTCGCTGACTGATTCCCCATCCATGATGCTTGTGTCTGCGTCGCTCAGGTCTGACGATGCCGACACGGAAACGGTGTCTGAGGGCTGTGTTTCACTGCCAATGTCTGACGAAAAACAAAAACACCGAAGTGCAGTACTGTGTAAGATTTTTATTTACGAAGCCATTGGGATCAGTAAAATAGCTTCGTCGTGACGAAAAATTCGTTATTAAAGTATCGCGTTCAACATATTGGATGCTGTGAATTGAAGAAATATTTTGTTGAGAGCGATTATTCAGTAAAACGGATATTCTACTGTTCACTCGAGTAACACGCCCATCCAATTCGTCAGCCGAAAATTCATATGAAAACGAATCCTCAAATAAGACGCAAATCCCACTTTCAGAGACTGAAAATTGCAACACAGTCGAATTTCTTCAACTCCAGTTTCAAGTGACCAGCAATATTTTCAGTTACTTCGACCTTTCTTTTTAAATTTTGAACCACTCATGCGTTGAACTTGGAGGGAAGTTATACACTCGAAAAATAAAATTATATTTCTCAAAAATAAATTCCAAGTCCGGTCAAATCGACCCAAAGAAGCGCGTCTCACCACTCGAAAACGATTGCACATCGTCAGTTCCAGAAGCAGAACCAGATGTGGATCCTCCGAACCTCTGATAAGGCCCAGTGGCGGCAATGGACTCCTCCAACTTTGGCAAACTGGATCCAATGTAAACTTCTTGAGGATTGAATCCGCTGTATGCAGTCGACCAGCGTTTATTCCCCGAAACACCCCGACGTGACAAACTCCGGGTACCGGCAACATACCCCGCATCCATCTCGGGATTGTAACTGCTCATCGTATTTCCAAAGAGCGCTTCTAAAAAATAAAAAATATAAAAATAAAATTTGAAAATTTTCTAGATCAGTGTTCCCCAATCCACGGTCCCCAGAAGATTTTGGCTCGTCCACAGTAATTTTTCAGCAGCATAATAAATTTATCAAAAGTGGCAATAAAGTCTGACTGAAATTCTGGAAAAACGAAGGCAATTGAAATTATCTGATAAAAAAATAAAACTTGGCTTTTCTCTTAATAACACTTCAGACAAATTTTAACCACCTGAAATAAATGATTTTGATTTTTTTTTTCATTTTGAGAAACCTTTCTTCAAGCCTGCCTTTCCAATTTTTTGAAGACATTCCATTAAAGCTTCTTCATTGGTTCTTAATTTTTGAAAAAAAGCAGAAATATTTTGAATGCCTGCCTGCCTTTCAAGCAAAACTTTCTTGAAACTGCAAAAATTTTCTGAAACTTTTTTGGCCCACAGAAAATATCTTGGGAACTTCGCTGGTCTACAAAAAACATTTACATGAAAATTTGCAGGCCTGTAGACTCAAAAAGGTTGGAGAACACTCATCTAGATTGAGACTGCGTACAATTTCATAATTTTTTTTTCTTTTCAGAATTATAATGACGAATAAAACAGACGTTCAGAGCTGCTGGGCATCGAGAGATTGGCTGTTGACGCATACGCATGCGCGACTCCGCGGCGTTTCAGCGCGTCGCTGAGGTACGAACTGAGGCGCTTGGCGGCGTCCCGCGAAGGAGTCGCCACGGACGCCGCCGGGGACACCGCGAGGTCGGCCGTCGACTGCCAACCGTCGCTGAGGCCACGACTGTAACGCTTCAACTCCCTCCTTTGCTTCGCCTCCCGTTCCGCGACTCGAGCCGCATACGAAGACCTAGAATAAATTGAATCATAATCGGAAATGTATAGAGACGCGGAAAATCATTGTTTTTTTTCGAGTTTTCATTCAAACCGGAAAAATTTGTTTTCGTTTTAGTGCGAATTGACAGTTTCAAATGGGCTCAAGTAGTTGAACCTCGGAGGTCCTCAAAATCAAGACGTTTCTTTGTTCACATTTTGAAATCTGAATTGGATGCGTCTTGAAAATGAGTGACAAAAAAGGCAAAAAAATTGACATGTTTATTCTTGTTCATCAGTATGCGCGTAATGTGTTCATGTGAGAATCTCAAGTCTTCTGAAATTTCCGAAGACTTGAGAAGTTTTGATTCCCAAAACGATGTAACAAAGTACCCTCTCAAATCTCGGAGGACCAGGGAAAAGTGTTAGCTTACATGATTTCCACTCAGGAGATAATTTCTACATTGTTTAATCAATAAAAAAAATTGCTGGGAACAGGCTGAACACCTTCTGCTTTAATTTTTCATTGCTACAAAAATTATGGAAATAAAGCATTCATAATTTTTCATGTACTTTGATGAATTTTCTTTCAACACCTGTTCACTGAAGTATTTTTTATGTACCAAAATGTGTTGAATGGATGCATGGGAGGATGTGGAAAATGTTTCTGAACCAGGAAGCACAGTTGAACCCAGTTGAACCCCAACCCTTGATCTACATACTGGTGCCATTCCTCAGAAGTTGTTTGCCAGTCCACAGGGAATTCTCTTCAGCACAATGAATTTAAGAAAAGTTGCAATGAAGTCTTTATCTTCATCTGAAATTTTTGAAAGACAATGGCAGTTGAAATCATCTGATGAAAAATAAAAGTTGGTTTTTCTCCTCATAAAACTTCAGGCAAATTTTCTCCAGCTGAAATTAATTACAGTACAGTGAGACCCCCACATGTGGACACCCTGACCTGCAGACCTTTTTTTTTCAGGGACACTTGTTTTCCCTGAAAAAAATTAATGAAAAAGGACCAACATGAGGACACTGACTCAACTTAGGGACATTTTGTGATAAAATTGCATATACATTTCAGGCCAAATTACAAGAAACAGATACGTATTTCCGACCCTAAAATTTATGTAAGAAAAGTTCCTGGGGATTTCTCTCACCAATTTACCATCCATTTAGCTAATTTTAAAAAATTACCTCCAGCATAGAGGGAGTTCTACACTTTTTTCACTTGAATGATGTTTTTGTAGAGGCCTACATTTCAATGTACAGTACAGAGATACACTATTCAATTCTCCAAATGTTCTGATTGAGTTGAAAATGCATTCATTATTTCAAATTTAAGTGGCAAATAATTTTCTTCAGGGAATTCTGAAGAATATTTCTCCCATAAAATACCAATTAAAAATTATATAATGTAAGTCTATGGGAAAACAAGACTTGACTTAGGGACAATTTGACTTTGGGACACTCATGATGCACCAATCATGTCTGCATCTCAGGGTGAGTGACATAAGGTTCAAAAGTAAGACTCTTTGGAAAGAGGTTGGGGTGGAAAGAAAAAAAAAAAAACTTCTGTAAACTGATATCGACGAAAGAACCGAGGAACTAATTAAAAACGTTTTTTATTTTGAAATGCTTTAAATACCTGCCGTAAAGTCTTTCAGCTAGGCAAAACTTTTCAAGTCTGCAAAAAACTTATGAAACTTTGCCAATCAATCAGCAGATTTTTTTTCAGGAAATTTGCCAGTCCACAAACAATGTTATGGAAATTTGCTGGCCCAAAAAGATTGGGTACAACTAATCTAACCTGTAGTCTTCAGCACTACTGCCAGAACCACCACCACCATCAATAACACTGACAGGTCTCAGAAACCCCGGCCTCGCAGGCAGGGTTTGATACCCCGAAGCAGTCCTCGCTGCTGCACCATAACCCCCATCAAACCCATCCCTAGACTTCTCCATCTGCTCTTGTTGTTGAGCATACGCTGAATATCGCGACGTTCTTCCCGCGGGTTTTGAATTGCTCGTAGTCGTCTCACTGTATTCCAAGTTTTCATTCTGAGAAACCTTTCTCCAACCCCCCCTTTCTTTTTTTTTTTTTTTGAAGACATTTGACTATAGCTGCTTTCTTGGCTCCTTGATTAATTTTTGCAAAAAATAAAATAAATGCTTTAAATACCTGCTGTAAAGTCTTTCAGCTAGGCAAAACTTTTCAAGTCTGCAAAAAACTTATGAAACTTTGCCAATCAATCAGCAGAGTTTTTTTCAGGAAATTTGCCAGTCCACAAACAATGTTATGGAAATTTGCTGGCCCAAAAAGAGTGGGTACAACTAATCTAACCTGTAGTCTTCAGCACCACTGCCAGAACCACCACCACCACCATCAATAACACTGACAGGTCTCAGAAACCCCGGCCTCGCAGGCAGGGTTTGATACCCCGATCGTCAGGAGCGACGACGTGGTATTGGGGGTAGTTTGGGTAGGGATCTGAAGAGGTAGACGAGAACAACAACTCGTATGCGACTTATAGCGCTGCAAGAAGGGCGCCCAAAACTTAACGAGCATCAGCTCGTCGTCAATATCTCATTATTATTACTCGCGTCTTCTTTCGCAGTCGGCATGAAATTGGCCAGCGTTTTCGCTCTGCCGGTTCTTCCGTAGGACTTGGTAGTGGTGGGTAGATCTTCTGGGAGTTCCGTGACGGCTCGTTTGTAGCCGTCGCTTTCCCAATACGAAACGTCCAGCATTAACCCTCGAGCACTCTTCATTAACCGTTGCGCAGCCCGCTTTAACCGTCAACTGAGCGAACACCCGCCGCCCCTGAGGCTGTTTCAACTTGAAGCCCGACGTTTTCATAGAGAATTGAACCTCGATAAATAGATGGAACACATAAAATAAATTAATAATTGTAAAAATAAATACGATTATTACCTCCCTATGTAGATTTTTTTAAAGTCCCTGTCTGAATAATTCCCTCATAAACAATGCAATAGCATTAAAAACCAAACCAACTCTAAGGCTTTCCTCCTCAAAACTCCCAATTCAAATTTTCTGGAGGCCTTTTGATTATTTTTTATTGACATAGGATCGAGAAAAACAATAAAAATTTAAGATTTATACTTTTTGAAAGAAATTGCAAGACTAATTTGGAAATCAAGCCTTTCTGCAAACTTCAGCATGCCATCAACTCATTTAAGAATCAATTCAATGGCCCAGAATTTCCAGTACTACTTCTTTTTTCTTAAACAAAAAAGATGCTTATATTTCCCTGACTCAAAACTTCGTTAACTCGATTTTTTTTGCCACTTCCCTTGCAGTTCTACTTAATCGCATTTTTGAAAAGTCAACCCTGTTTCCGGCATTTCCTCAAAAATCGATGAAACCTCCTCCAAAGGGTTCATCAGGACGCGCACACGTTTTCTTTTTCAATATTTATTTACACAAACAGAAAAAAATGAATTCAGACCTGCAAGAAATAAGACGCATTCTAAAATATTATGTCACAGGTTTTGACGATTTCTTGATTTCCTTGTCCAGTTATGGAGATAGTTTAGATGGCTTCTCAGAGAGCCATATGTGATCATTTCTTCAAGAAGTTTCGCTCGTCTTCGTCAAAATAAAAATTGAACTAGCACCCGATCAACGTGATAAATTGATTCTTACATGCATTCAATTTTTTGATCGACGACAATGTACTACGAATTTTCAAGCAGTCGAAGTAACATTAATGAACTCAATTGTTTCAATCAACATTAATGGATCTACTGATATACCACACTTCCTTCAAGCAATACAGGCACCCAGATCTTTCAGCCAAAAATTTTGATAAAATCCTAACCCTGAGTAAAACATGCACCCCATTTTAAATGAGTGAAAAACTGACATACAGCAGGA